AATGCAAACGTTTCAGGGAAATACAACAAACTTGTTGCCTTAAAAAGCATCAAACATTTAAACTTACTCTTAGGACTTATTCTGGTTTTGGCATCCTCTTAGATTTCACTATATTCAGAGTACCAGAAGAAATGAAGCCAAACGAGTAAGGAATTGCAGTAAGAGGCTAAAATGTTGTTAAGATGAAGAGAGTGATGTTTGGAAAACTGAAGTCTTCTGTGCAGAATGGAAGAGCTGCTTTTGCGTAGCTTTCAAATCAATGCTGTAGCAAATACATATTTTCTAAAATAATCAGGCAACTGTCTAAAAACAAGAAATAATGATTTTTCCAAGAGAATGACATTTTCATTTTAGACTACCTTTTGTGTGGAAGAACAACTGTTTCTTTCCTAGAAGCACCTACCGTGCTTTTTGCAGATCAGTAAGATGCTTCTATAAATCTCTTGACATGAAGTATGGCACATGTTAAAAGAGTTAGTACCACCTTATTTATCGTCTTATTTTGCTTATTCCTTTCAGTCCCAGTGCTTTATCAAGCTCAAAGGGAATCTGTTCCAACGTGGGGTTTTTTTGGTGCTGCAACACTTGGACGTATTGCTGTTAATTCAAGCAGCAAGACCAAGCTGCAAAGAAAGATTTGCAGTTTTTTAATCAGCATTTTTGCAGTAGCAGAACACTGCGTGGTCTGAGGCAAAAGGTGCAGTATTGCCAGAACTTCACTGAAATTACTGTTTTGAGTCGAAGTGTCTTTTGGGAGTCAGGAAGGGAGACCTGGAAACAACATCAAAGCTTGAGGTTAGAATGTGTTGGAGAATGTATGCCAAGAAAGGTGTGTTAGGAGCAAAAATAAAACCAATCTACAGCAGAAGCCAGGCACTGAATGGCTGGGGGGATAAGAGTAAAATTGCAGAACATCTGGGGGATGTTGAGGAGAAGTATTTTAGAAATGAATGGGAGATGTACAGCGTGGGTTGAAATAGCAAAATGATTCAAGCAAGTGAAATGGTTTGAAATAGTTACTTGCCTGAGGACTTGGTGGATTTTTTTCATCTTTTTATTATTGCATAAACTTTCCCTGTGAGGAGCTGGCTATAGATTGTGGGTTATAGCTCTTCTGAGTGTGAGGTGTCTTACCTTGGACAAACATCTTGTCAGTTTTGAGGAGTTGCAGTCGGCAGAGGGTTCTTAACCGAGATCATTCTTCTGCCAAATCAGGTACAGAGGCTGACTGTGTGTGCTCACATCCTTCCTCCTTTCCTTCTGTGATCAGAAATTATTTTTTGTTGTTGTTTGTAGCAACATGAACCGTGAAGACCGGAATGTGCTGCGTATGAAAGAAAGGGAAAGGCGAAATCAAGAAATTCAACAGGGTGAAGAAGCCTTTCCGCCCAACTCTCCTCTCTTCGCTGAACCATACAAAGTTGTGAGTTTATGCACTTCTTACAAACGCAGCTTTTGTAGCAGAAGTCGTGTGCGAATTCGTGGTTTAAAGTTATTTTTGTGTGCATTCTGTTTAGATCCACAGCTCTTATGTCAACCAAGTATTTAAGCAGGGCTTGAAAATAAGGACAGGTAGTTTCTAACCAGCTCTACGGGCAGATTTATCATTATGCTTACGACAGAGGGGCTGCTTTGCAGGGAGTGAGAAAAGGGGTGATAAAACCATAAAATTTTTTGGCTTGCTTTTGCTACAGTGACTCAAAACAATTAAACTGTCCATTGTGTCATGCCAGATTGCCTTTTTTTTGGCCTGTTGCTAAACTTTGTTACCTTCAGTCAATGTTATCCAGACCTAGCTAAGTTCACAAGGAGAATGTTTCAATAGGAGGTTAACTGTAAATGCTGAAATGCCTGATATCATAGAATTATCAGCTTCAACTAGTAGGCCAGTAGTTTGTATCCGATTTGGGGTTTTTTTTCAGTTTGTTTTGAAAGAGTTGACTCTGTGATCTTGTACAGCTTTAAGCCTGTGCTTGGTTTCCTTCCAGGTTTGTTTTGCTGAGCAGAACTGGAAGAAATAACCTAATTCTGAGATAGCCAAAAAAGTACCATTTAAGATTTTCATTATGTAGCTCAAAACTCACTTTGTGATACAGGAATGGCTTTACTTCCAATTTCAGCTGTTTTGCAAGAAGTAGAACATTGTGACTGAAAACTGCCTTCCTGCAGGACGGAAGTTGAGAAATACTTTTTTTGCTTCCTGTCCTCCCATCACTTTACTGTGCTTGATAACCAAATCCCACATGTATGAAGTTAACTGGAGCTGGTTGGGATCTGTGGCTAATGATACGCTATGACTGATTTAGAAAACAAACTGGTTATATAAGAAAGAACCCTTATAACTGTTGGCAACAAGAGTTATGCCAGTATAAATACCAATTAAAAATTACAAACAGTGGTGAAGTTAAGCTGATTTAATTTTACCTTTAATTAAGACTTTTTAGGACTAATGCATTCTGTGTTATAGTCTTTAAGGTGACAGTAGGCGTCTACAGTTTTTAAACTTGCATCGAGCTCACCGTGCATTATTTGAAACACTGATTAGTGCTGTTTTAACTGTTCCTGCTGCTGAAGTACATCTTTTCCTTGTGTTTTAGAGGATTAAATCAGTACTTTAGGAACTAAAATGGGGAATTGGAAGCAATGGCAAAAAAGACATGGATGCTAGCCATGATCTTAGCCCTGAAATTTAGACTAACTGCAGTGGTTGTCAAATCAATTAACTGAAAGTGAAGTTGTGATTTTTTTTTTTAAAGCATTATTTGTTAAATTCTTTTCACAGACCAGCAAAGAAGATAAATTGTCTAGTCGCATTCAGAGCATGCTTGGCAATTATGATGAGATGGAGGATCTCATAGGAGATAGATCGCTACAAAAGCTCGTTGGACTTCCCCAACCAACTGTACCATCAGCACCAGATGAAAAGTCAAACCAAAGTTTCTTTGGTGATCAGAGACACAGTACTAGCTCACATCAGAGCAGCAAATGGACTCCTGTAGGACCAGCACCTAGCACTTCCTCGCAATCTCAGAAACGGTCCTCAGGTTTACAGAGCGGACATGGCAGTCAGCGTGGCAGTGGCAATAACACTAGTGGTGGTGGCCAGAGGCACGACCGTGACTCGTACAGCAGCAGCAGCAGCCGCAAAAAAAGCCAGCATGGGTCCGAACACTCCAAACCCCGTTCTTCCAGCCCTGGAAAACCATCTGCTGTTTCTTCGTTGAGCTCCAGCCATTCAAGATCTCATGGAAACGATCACCACAGCAAAGAACATCAACGTTCGAAATCTCCTCGGGATCCTGATGCCAACTGGGACTCTCCCTCTCGTGTACCCTCATTTTCAAGTGGACAACACTCTAATCAGTCTTTTCCACCTTCACTAATGTCCAAGTCCAGTTCAATGTTGCAGAAACCCACTGCGTACGTAAGGCCGATGGATGGACAGGAATCCATGGAACCAAAGTTATCCTCCGAACACTACAGTAGTCAGACTCACAGCAGCAGTGTCAACGAGCTGAAGCCCAGCAGCAAAGCACATCTGACCAAGCTGAAAATACCTTCTCAACCGCTAGATGTAAGTTACTATTTCCTGGCTTCTTAAGTGTAAGTCCCTTTGGGCTGGGATTTTCCAGCTTCTTTAAAATCCCAATCTACATAACTGAAATTTAGGTTTTAGTAAAACATTGGGGTTTTTTTTGTTGCACAAAGCATCTGAAACGTATGCAGTGAAGACCTGTATTTTAAATGGGGAATGTACAAAAGTAATTATTATTTCCTTCCACTTCTTCCACGTGGATACTGTGATTTTTATTTAATAAAGACTGAGACATTCAGAAAGTCTAAATTAACCGAGAGAGGCTAATTTTTGTAGAGTATTTCTGTAGTCAGAAGTTAGTGAAACAGTAGGATATTCACAAATATTTTGACAAGCTGGATACATCTATTGTCATTACTGGGAGCCGTGTTGTCTTAGACTAGTGATGCTATCTGTGTCTATCAGATGTTCTTTTGAGGTGTGTAGCAATTACTAGCTGCGATTATTATACCTTCATCCGGGGAAAATCAGGTAACCCTAAAGCACCCAAAGTTGAACAGGGTTCAGAACTCGTGTCAGGTGTGCTGAATACAAAGCACTGTTGAGTTAACAACTTTCAGTATTTTGGTAGTCCCTGAATTGCTAAGGCACAATTAAGACTCTGATTACAGCTCACAAGGAGAGTGCCTTTCTGAATCATAAGCTGTCATTGCACCTCCTCTCTAACGGCTTGAATCGTGGTGGCTAGAGAATAGCATTTGTTCCTGGGGTTTCAACAAATAGCAAAATAAGATCCGGGACGCAGGTGAGGAAATTTGAAAATAAAATTATTTTCGTGTTTGTGCTGAGGCAGTGAGTTGTAGAGTGGCATTGCTTCCTTTCTGCTTGTAGCAGTCAGAGGTGCAGAAGACTCATAGCTTCGTAATTATTGCCATTTCTGGGTTTGTGCTGTGATGTGTGTTTACTTCATCATGCAGTTGGTCATTACTGTGCCTTCACGGTCACGCGTTTGAATTCAGATGTTATCCAGTGGCTTCTTCCAGGAGATGATTGAAGGCTACGATTCTCTTTCCTCTCTCTTGAAGTTTTTAATGCCAGTGACTGTCTGTGATCACTTTAACTGTCAAGTGAAAAGTAAGAGATTATTGTGACAATTTTGTAGCTCATGTATTTGCTTTTCGTAACTGGGTGTGACTCATACCGTAGAAATACGGGTCTATCCGATATTAAAATTAATGTTGCTGAAAAGAATTAGCAAGGTCTGTTTGTATCTATATAGAGTCCATATGAATCACGATAAGGATTGAAGTTTATTTTTAACTGTTTCTAGCCCCTGGGATCTTTAAAGGAAAATTTGCTGTAGCAGTTGTTAATCTTGAGTTTTGATTTGTAGGCATCAGCGTCTGGTGATGTGAGCTGCGTGGACGAAATTCTAAAAGTGAGTTCTCTGTGCTTTTGCTCATAACTTATTTGTTGAAAACACAAACGTTACTAAGGAGGTGGAAAGTGCTCTGCAGTTGAGTAGTGCCTTTTAAATTGACTTGGCTGCACGTGGTTACAGGAGGGCTCCTCGGTTACTCCTCTGCGCAGGTAGAGGGGGAAGGCTGGGAGCAGAGCTGTGTGTGAGCTGGGCACTGGGCGTTGCTGGGTGTGCACGTCATCTCCTGGGTGTCCTTGCTGCATTCCTGTTCTTCTAGGCCACCTCCCTGTTAACCTAACCAGAAGTACCCATTTCTTCCACCAAAATACAGTCCTTACATTCCAATATCTTTTTAGAATATACTATTTTTTCTGCTACCCAATAGCAGAACTTTCCCTTCTCTTCTACTCAGGTTATTTTCTTAAGTCTTCTTACCCCTCGTGTGATCCCCTGGGCATCTGCCTGCTACCACAGAAGAATCATCAGATTCCCCTTGAGCATTTCCATGGCTTACTGTTTGCCCTGACCTTCAGTACTCCATGGTCCTTGGAGATGCTCTGAGAGAATACAAGGCGCTTTCTTTTTGGCTTCAGGCATTTGATTTTCCCCTTTTTCCTCAAAATTTATACGCTATCCTTTTCCTGGGATTCTTCTCTCTACCTTTGTATCCTACATGTGCTCTTCACAGTCTAAAATGATCAGACTCTGACTTCTACTGCAGTTTATGTTCGGGCCAACACGTTTTATTGATTTATGCCTTTCTGCTTGTTGTTACATCTTAACTGTCTGTTCTCGTGGGTAATAATTTAAGGTTTAAGTTTATGTGCAAAATCTTTCTTGCACCTTTGGGAAATTAGGATTTGAATATAAAGCTTAGTGAAGTGTGGACAATGAACTGAAAATTGAGAGGGTTACAATTTGAATCAAGATTGTAACTTGAAATCTTTGCTTTGATTTTGTTAATAACTTTCCTTTTTTGTTCTGGTTGTAGGAGATGACCCATTCTTGGCCTCCTCCACTGACTGCCATTCATACACCGTGCAAAACTGAACCGTCAAAATTTCCTTTTCCAACAAAGGTCAGTTCTGTAGTCAGATGCTGAATGCTGTTGAAAGAGTGACTCCTATGAAAGATCAGGATTTTGGAACTCTTTTAAATTCAATTCTGTATAGTTCTGGGTTTGTTTCAGTGCTTTGTATCTCTTTATTTTGCTTCACAACAACATTTGTCAGCAGTAGCCTTGTGAAGAACGTAATCGTTTTTCCTCTGGTTTACACACACAGCAGTCTGCAAAGCTGTCTGCATTGTAGCTTTCCTTTTACTTTTTAATTTTTGTTTCATAAATTGAAACCTTCTTCAGGATACTTCTGAAGCTTGAAAATGCCATTGAGCCTTTTTCCCTATTAGGGAAACGCTTTGCACCATTCTTTGTAGAAGCAAGCAAGCGTTGTGTTTACCTCCATGTAGCAAAGCAATGGTGACTGGCTGGTCAGTGCTAAGAAATTTAAAAGTACTTTGCTGCATAAACTGAATTTTCCTCATAATTTTGAAGTCCATTAATAGTTCTATTAGATCTTACATTTTCAATTACAAAAAAAACCCCACATTTTTAAAATCAGATGTTTTACTAAAGAAATTTTCAGATCACTTGTTGGGAAAGATCCTCTTCCTAACCTCCTGTGTACTTAATAACTACTGAAGTGTTTAAACTCTCTATTCTAAAGAGAAATCAGTCACTCTCTTGCTGCTGTTGACAGCACAGGGCATGTTTCCAGGAGACCTGCTTGAGCTGACACCTCAGAGAAGGGAGTTCTCTTGCTCTCAGCTGCCTGCTCCCTCCCCTGGGGCTGGATCTGGCAGCCCCAGCTGCAGGGTTTCAAGGCAAACTGGCCCTGGTGATTGTTTGCCTTGAAATACAGCTCTGCAATCTGCAGTATCTTGGAAGCTGATGGGTAGGCAGGGTGGAGATAGGCAGGGTAGATAGCAGTGGGTAGCAACTTCAGCCAGTACGGTTCAGCTTGCGGTAGCTGATTCATTCAAGGACTCATATTTTGTTTCCTGTAACTGATCACCAGTAAAAGATTGAACTTGACAATATAATTTTTCTCCAGACTCAACGTATCTCTGAAATGGATTGGGGTACTCCACCCCTAATTTGGCATAACTTCAGAGTGAAGAAATGATGCTGTTTGTCTTTTAAAAGTTACCTTCGTAATAGTGAGGAGTACTTTTTCTGACCAAACTGCTGTTCTAGAGCACCACTTACTGCTCTCAATTTCCCGTTTGATCCAAATTGCTCCCCGAAACGGAACAGTTCAGTAAAGTGTTTTAAGAAGATTTTCTCACTGAGGTCTCTGATGTAATCTGTCTGAACTGATTGTCTTACGTGAATGCTTTGGCCGAAAAAAGGTGATGTCAAAGGTTCCAGATGCCACGGTGTAAGTGCACATCCACAAAACTCCCGCAGACTGGTGCGAAGTTAAATTGTTTGGGTGCTCGTGCTGGCTGGATATCCTGGAGCTGTGGGCAGTCCCGTGGTCCTCGCCCTCTGCGTTGTGTGTTCCTGTCTCACTGTGGCTGCTTCTGTCCAGTGAGCCAAAAATGCAGAACATACTCTGCAGTTCTCAGCTTTGCTTTTGAAGGCACAGGTAGAAACAAGTGTCGTTGTCTAGTTCCTTAACATTATAATGATGAGTTAGATCAGCATTAATCGTGTTTATATTACCTTTAGTCAGGGTTTATTTCCCATGTTATATAAAACTGTGAACTTGGAAATAATTCTTACCTCTTAAAGCAAGAAATTCCACACCTTTCTTCATCAACAAGGGTGCTTATTGCACTGCTTTGAGTACTTACTCCTGAACCTGTGGGGAGGTGTTTTCCCTTCACACATTTTGAGCGCGCTGGATTGTGAGGTTGCTAGAACTGCTCGTTTCTGCCTTTCTCTGGTGTTTGACTCCTTTTGGGAAGGAAGAAGGTGTGGAGAAATATATGTGTCTTTGTGACGCAGAGAGAAACTGCGTAAGATTGCAGTCTTGATGATGTTTGAACAAAAAAGGTAGGTTGTGGTTTTTTGAACCTATCGACCTAGATTGTGTTTCTTCACCCGGTTTGCAAAAAATTCCATTTATGGCTGCTCTGAGTCTTTTGATTTTTTGCCAGCTTTTTTATTCTGTGACTGCACATCTAAGCCGTGGAACTTTGTCAACTTCTCTCTCCGCATCCAAAGCCTATAATTTCCTCTGCCTTCTCCCCTCTGTCATTCTTGGCAGCAGGATCTTCGCAGAATTCCAGCGAGTTAGCGAGCCATAGGCTTTTGCCGCAGCAGATTTCAGAAAACAAAACAAAACAGTGGTTTTACTTTAATCAAGCAATACTGTTCGAAGAAAGCTCATTCTTTAATACCATGCTCAATTTATTTACAAGTAACACGCTGTAGTGTTTCACAGCATTCCTCTTGTGTGCAGAAGTTTGGTATGTTTTGCCTGTGTGCATAAAATTTAGCTCCCTTTGGTGAACCAGTCGATTTTGTTTGTAAGACTGTTGGCATAAGATGTTTTTCCCTATGGGTAGATAGTGAGTAGCTTGAAGGAACACAAAACTCCTGACCGAGGCCTGTCTGCATTACTATAAATATATCTGATAATTATCAGGAATTCTTTGAATCAGATGATAAAACTTCATGAAAATAGGTCAGGGAAAGTTTTATGACTGCTATGAAAAAAATGCAGATTCCTGAGTCTTGATAAAAAAACGTTATCTGATGACCTAACACTCTAATTTTATCCTATACAACTTTTTAAAAGCCGTAGACCCACAGTCAAGAACTCCCAAAATACTGGCATGTTTGTAAAAGATTTTTTAAAAAAACAGCTGTTTTTGAGAGGGTGGAACTTTTTCGTTTCAAAGCAACGTGAGAGCGTTGGCAGTTTGTACCTACATACCTGTGCAGTGGCCTGGAGGCATCTCTGGAGAGGTGGGTTCTGTCTCCAGGTTTGTGCAGTGTCCTCCCTGCGGCGGTCAGGTCGCCCGATCCGCTCTAACACAGAAGCTTTCTTCTGAGAAACAAAAATGAGATCTGAGCTGCGATTTCAGATGTTAGATGGAAGTGGGTCCCGTTGAGCACAGCTGGGGCTGCAGCCAAGCTGGGAACCTGCAAAAGAGAATCAGGTGCCGCGCTCTGTCCCGCTGGCGAGTGTTTTTCCCTCCGCAGTTTTTGTGCTTCGGTACAAGCTGCAATTTTGTTTCCTGCCGAAGTATCTTCACTATCTAACCTCAGCAGTCCATAATACTTTGGTTAAAAGGGCTTCCTTCCTTTAAGTTGTTTTTAATTTCTTCTTTCCGATGTAGACCTTTAGAAGATACTGCTATAAATAACTTTGGAGTTGAAAATATAACTTTTTTCTTACAAAAAAAAAAATCTCTTGAGTTTCTTAAAGAAATACGTGTTCAGAGACAAAATAGATGGCAAGATTTTTGGAAAAAGTTGCACGTTTAAATGTAACACCTTGTTAAAGTGCACTTAACTGCCAGACCGCGCTTTGCCGTAGGAACAGGACGTTGACTACGATGAGCAATTGGGCAGGTGCCTTCTGCAGGATTTGGGACACATGGGTGGGTAGAGACGAGCAGCAGCTCCTCACCTTGTGCTCACCCCAGCCCAGTTGCTCTGTAGATGTGGTGTTTGATTGCTGCGTGGTCTTTACTTCTGTTTTGACTTCCAGTTTGTCAGCTTGGGTAAGCTGACAGTGAAAAAGGCAGTCGGGGGATCACACTTGCACTCCTCGTACCTATGTAAAAGATAAAAATCAGTTTTTATTTTGGAGGAAGTGTAGCTATTGCTTTCTGTTGAAGTCACAAGGCTTCTCTCCAGCTTCATTTTTGCATTGCACTTTAAACATAGGTTAATTTTATTTTTATTGTCCCTTCCTTTCTTTCAGTGAGTAAAGATTAGCGGCATTTGAAACACCTTACAAGGAAATTTCCCTGTCAACAACATACTTTTTCAATGCATTATTGCAACTACTTTAACTTTTGAAATAAACAGTTAAGGGAAATTAGAAATATCTAAGTGTACTTTGCTACGTAAAGCTTTTGTGTGTTTAAAAATTAAATTTTGTAAGTTGTGAATATAACTGCTCCACGTCACTGACGTGGCTGTTGGGGAAAACCAGTTCACAGGTATACCAAAAACCTAGAACTCGTTGAATTGTCATTCTTGTTTGTCATTGACAGAGCATTTAAGAAAAATGTGTGTATATAACTTCGTGAATTGAGTCAAATATTTTCAATTTTTATTTATGGGGCCAGCATTTGGCCTCATTTTGAAACGAGGTCAGGAAGGTCCTATTTTAAAATGACATTCTGGCCTCGAAGTAGGTTTTGGTACTTGGTAGCCTCTGCATGTTTGTTTGTTAAAACAATATTTTAGGGTTTCAAAAAAAATTATAATCAGCTATGTCTTCAGAGCCAGAATTGGGTTTTCTGAAAAGGCAATGCTCAAGATTATACAAGGGCTAAAATTTGCAAGGCTTCATCTTTCACAGCTGGATCTGTCAGTGATGGGTTCATCACACGTTGAAGAAAGTCACGTATCGTTGTTCCTTGGCTTTGTACGAGTGGATTGTCCGATTACGTGGAGATCCGGCCTTCGGAGCCGTTGCAAGGAAAGGTTTTTGGGCAGAGTTTGCAGAGCTGTTCCAACTTTGTTTCATTGTCTTGGGCTCCTTTGTAGCTGAGATTTTATTTTTTTGTTGTTGTTGATAGGTTGTTACTCTACTCATTGCTTGTCCACCACGATGCTGCATGTGTCTGAAAAAGAAAAATGCAGAGAAGAGAATTTGATTGAAAAGACATAAATGTAGCAGCAAAGCTTTTCCGTGTATAAGGAAGATAAACATACTGAAGAGTTCCTCTCCATGCTAAACGTACATGGAGATGGGATTTATGGAAGTTATGTAGGGATTTTGGAGTTTTTACTATCACATAGTACAGCTGCACATGGTCTTTCTTAACAACAAGGCAGTAGGAGAGCTGAGCTGAGGAAGAGGAGCGGGAAGCACTGCTTCCCTGCGCTGGCTGTGCCGTTACCGCTGGGGAGAGGAGTTGGGGTCCGGATGAAGAATCACTCTTTCTGGTTTGCTGTTGTTTTATTTTTTCTTTTTTAGAGGTTAGGTGCCATCCTTTAGGTGGAAAGAATATCTTGCTTAAAGCACGGGTTTTGATACGTTAAAATTCCCAGTGGAAAAAACATTTGTGATCTTTTATTCCCTTAGGAGTCTCAGCAGTCCAGTTTTGGCACTGGAGAACAGAGTAAGTAAATTAAACTTCCTGTAATACGTTGAATGTTTTTGTTGCGATTCGGTGTTCTCAGTATGTCGTGTGTTTTAGAGAATGAGACTTTCCAGACTGGTCGTAGGATGGAGTCTAAGTTAAGATTTCTGTACTTTCTCAAATTTTACTCTATAAAACAATTGCTTGGTTTTCTTTTGCATTTCTTATTGAGATCTAGAAAGTTAAGACTGAGTTGTCAAGGTTGTTACTATCTCCTAGAAAAAAAAAAAAAGAATATATTTTTCATTTGTCATGTTTTCTAATTCTTGAAAAAATGCCTCCTTGGTTGATCTAATTGAAAATAGCTGAGTACTGAAACTAAACACCCTTTAAAAAACCCAGTTCCCTGCTTGGGAAATGCTAGAAACCGAAATAGTGCTTATGTTTATATTTCAATAGAAAAAGCACATTGCAGTTTCACTGTTAGTTTTCCCTTTGTCATTTTAAAATCAAGAGGGAGAACTGGTCAAGAGCTCATGTAGTAATATGCTTAGTAATATCCTGGAATTTCTTGTCCCAGAGTGCATTTTCAGATTTTAGACGAAAGCAGCATTTATCTCTCTGTAACTGTATCCTTGTTTTGAATGTTACTGAAATTCTTAATTTAACACAGGTAACATACCAGGTGAAATTGAGTTAGATTTGTGCTGTTACCTTCCAGAAGTCTTTCCTCTCCCTCTTGAGGTGATTAAAACAGATTAAATTGTAAAAGAAGAATAGTTTATTCTTAGATATTCACAAGCAGCTTAATCTAAACACCTGATACAGTGGGGAATTAAGGAAACAAATTAAAACTTAATTCCATAATGCTAAGCCATAGGCTTACCTTATAGGAGCAACCGGTCTTTAGGTGTGTAAATGGGAGAGGCAAGGTTAGTCAAAACACAGAACCAGTTTTTAACTCCTCTTTGAATTTTCTGGGAAGCTTTTAACGGCCTCAGTTCTTGTTTCTGTTGAACTACACGTAGCGATTTGCCAGAATTACAGAAAAGGGAAGGAAAACCTCCCCAAACTGAAAAGCAGATGATATCAGTCTGTATCCCTATTGTAACAATTGGTTTCTGAGTTCGATTTCTGGATCTAAAGATTGCTCATCTGCTAAAAAGCTACGTAGGGATGCGGAAACAAGCTGGAGCTTGACAGGCTGATTTATATCCTGTATCCTCCATGCAGAAGGCAATAGGTTAATCTTGATAGAAGCAAAACAGTTTTTCACACCATTAATAACAAATGAAGTGTGTATTGGTTTAGGCAGCGATTATTTAAATAATTTTCTAGATTTTCTTGATTATTTGCTGTATTTGGTATTTTGTCTCTTATCCACTCACTCCTTCAGTCTGTGGGACATTGTACCTGCTGTCAGCTATCTATTGCTTTCTCCTGGCTCCTCAGCTGTTCTCCTTTATCTAGGGCTCTGTACTTTTGACACCTGGGGAGCGACTTATTTTGCTGGCTGAGTTTTGATCTGTGCATTTCTTTTTTTTTTCTTCTAGAACGATATAATCCTTCATCAAAAACATCCAATGGTCACCAATCCAAATCGTAAGTGGCTGTCGACAGAACATTTCTCAAACAACAGTTGAATTTTAAGAGACTGGGAAAACAGCTGTTTCTTTTATTAGAATGTGTCAGTTCTTGCACAGACTCTTTAGCATACTTCTCCTTGACTGGCAGAAAAAGGGGGTTGTTTTTAACGAGCCGTTTTCTGGGACAGGAGACCAAATGTGGCACGTTGGAGTGAGTAACAAATACACTGTGCTGCCTTTCCGTTCCCCCGTTTTCTTGTCGGTTGTCAGGATAGGTGTGCAAGAGTTTGGAGCTCGGAATTGGCTTATGAACCAGAAAGGTGGTATCAGCATGGAAGAGTGGGCAGGATGGGACAGGACTTACAAATGTGCTCGTTGCAGAGCTGTCAGCTGGAAGCAGCTTGTAGCCGTTGCACAAGTAGGCAGGATGGGGAACCGTTTCATATTGCAGGAGACAGTAACTATGTTTGGGGTCCAGTTGAGTTTGTTCTGCTCAGTCTCTTGACTGACTGGCAAAGATTTCTGTGAGTTGTGCACACAGACCCAACGTTGTACTTTGTCAGTCATGCAACTGGAAGAAAAAATTAAAAGCAACTGGAACATTCTAGATGGCTGTAGTCCACCTTTCTCATACCTGAACATTGATGGTGTGCTGTTCAAAGGTTGTTTCCAAACAAATATATCCTCGAAAATAAAGGTTTACCAGCTGATTATATGTTTAATGGAAGTGGTTGTAGATTCTGCAAACTGGGTATTCTGAGTTAACGTTTGTTGTGAGGCAGTCACAAAATGGATTCTAGTTCTTTCGCTTGCCTGTGCACATGTGACAGTATTAGCAAGATTAAAAAGCACACAACCTATGGGAAGGGAGTAGAACTAAAAGAAACCTCTTCTATTATTAGAGACTTACAGTCAGTTTCCTAAAACATGTCATTTAAGAAGGTGCTTGTAAGCAGCCAGTTCAACAAGTGGTAGAAATCGAAGTTCACCATTTGACTTTGCATTTGTAGCAGTATAGACCTTTGAGAAGGACCTGTGCTATTTCCAAAGCTGGAGAACGTGAGAACATCTAAGAACAAGAGATAGCATTGGGCATTTGTTGAACTGGAATGCATAGGAAGAAAGTTGAGAAGATGTTTACTGTAACAATACAGTTTAAAAAAAAAAAATGTGATTGTGATCTGATCAAAAAACTTTTAAAAGGAGATAAATGCATCTTTTGTAAAAGCATAGTAATGAAAAATACTTTGGGAACTAGATCCTAGGGCTTGTTTCTTTTCAGATTATCAGTAGAACTAAGTGAAACTCAGTAGTACTAGACTTTTAATCCTTTCTCGTTTTCTTTCTCCAGATGTGAATCGAACCAGACAGAGTAAGATGTTTTATTTTTGTATTCAAGTGTGGTTTTCAATAAGCACAAAGGCCCTGTACCCTGCTCTGTGCTTCTGTGTGTTCACATATTTGCAGTATTGTGAAACAGTATGTGTATGTGTGACTACAATAAATAACAATTATGGCTTAGAACTGTTGCCATGAGACAGGAAGCAGTGATGGCTTTCTTGATTCTGCTTGCAACAGTATTCTTGGCCGCTGTCTGTAAGAAGTTGAACGTATGCGTTAGCTCCTCCCGCGTTAGTAAATTGTGTCAAACTCCCTTTCTAAATCTGACAGAATGGACTGAGGAGTCAAAGTACTTGAATCCTCCTTCTTCTCTAAAGAATGACTTGACTCACCATTCCTGAACATTCAATGTTAGGATGGTATCTTGTGGATTTCACCCACGCAGCCTGCTTCGTAGTACCAACAATAGCATGTTGAAATATAGAAGAATGCTTTGAAAGTAATTAAAGGATGTGGAAAAACTTGTCTCACTTTCTCCTTTTTTACTTAGTATGTTGAAAGATGACTTAAAGCTTAGCAGTAGTGAAGACAGCGATGGAGAGCAGGTATGTTCATTCACTCAGAGTTTCGGAAAAACGTAGCGAATGCCCTCACCCTTCAGTGCTTCAGCAGTGCTCTGTATGCCAATTAAGTTTCCGTTAAGAAACAAAAATCAAATGGCATGTTTTTAGACAAACCTCAGGTATTTCTAAATGTAAACTTGAGGAAAATCATCTGTCTTGTGGAAACAGTACGTTTTTATCTAGAAAATCTTGTTGTACTGATTTCAGGTGGGCTTTCTCTGAACATAAAATGTATTTCAAAACATCTGTAAAGGCCCACCATTTAAAGACAGAGCCCTTCATGTGCTGCCATTTAGTAGCTTGGGAGTGTGTTTGGGATTATAAGGAATACTGTATCTATAACTGGGATAACAGCACCTGTATTTTTATCGAAAAATCTTTTTTCCTCTTTGTCAATATTAACTTTGTGCAGCTTCTACCAGAAATGACATTCAGCATGCTAAATTAAAAATACCTGTAGGGGCTATGTTACCCAGCAGTAATCCACACTCCTCTCTCCTTTCTTTTCTTCCTGTTCCTGCTTCTAGTACTTAATTTTTTTCATGTGGAAAACGTTTTAAAATGTTTAGAAATGTTTAAAATCTGATTCAAAAAGATGGAAACATGTTATTAGTCACTGGTAGAAATAGGAGCTCTTAGAACTGTAGTCAGAATACGTAGGACTCTGAGATAATAGGCTTGTGGTGAAAACTTGGAGAAAACTCTGATTTATTTTTCGTTTCTGCATGAGGAAAATGCAGACAAATTTAAACTGCTGCAGGTACTGAATTAAGATGCTGTTCAGGCTAAATAATTCTAAAAAATGTAAAGACTCTAAATTGATGCTTTGCAGTTTAATCGTATGTATAATCCTAAAGTAACTTCTAGAAACTTCATGCTCTTTTTCTTAATTGCAGGACTGCGATAAGACGGTGCCAAGGAGCACACCTGGAAGGTAGGCATTC